TATCACCGACGGTGACTCTGAATTGTTTCGCAAGTAACTGGAATGCTCGTCTTCTTCGTTATCGAGAAGAGACATTCTCGCGGATGGCTAGCCACGACAGACACGGCTCATGCGTAAGTTCAACAGGAGTAGTCTCGACTTGGTTATCGGCACGCCTCCATGGAGTTATATACTGCCGTGATTCACCGCCTATTGCCATATCAGATCAATGATATGGTTATTTAGATTTGGATTTTTGTAATCATTTAGCTTCACTTATTAATGTATTGCTCCCTTTACATATCTATCTATTGAGCTAGTAACTGTTTGCTCGCTTTTTTACAAACATCGTATAGTACGATGCGTCTCCATCATTCATTTTGCATACTAGTAGTCTTAAGCTAACTATATATATAACAGTCTGATGAATGAACTCATGTTAAACATGAACATCTTCAACCGAAAATCTTCAAGCTAGAGCTCCAACATGCCAAACTATACCTGAAAATACTCACATTCTTGCAATAACTAGTTTACTGAGTCTGCACCCAGTCTGATTTTGACAGGATGAGACAGACTTTCATCTCTTACTAAGATGCTAAATAGGAAAGTAATTTAGGTGTACGGTATCGAGCGCATTCATAAAGTTGAAGCTGAGGCTCAATTGACTTTTAATAATGACCATCAATCTATAGAGACTATTGATACAAATGAGGCTGAGTCACGAAGTGTACGTCTATACAGTAGCGGCACTAGTCAAGGAGAAACTGAGCCAAGTTCACGACTATTTGCCTTCTCAGATTACTGCAGCGTTCATTCTCTCTTGTGTCGGTGATGGCATATGTCAAGCCTGCATCGAGCTTGGAAGCGTGAACTTGCTCGCTGCGGCACACATTAACTCAGTAAATAGGCTGGGCTCTGTGGTAATTAGCCAAGCTATATATACTCTATCGACCATTCTTATACAGAGGGACGTTCGGACCGTTGGTGTATTTGTTAATATAACCCGATTCAGCAAGGATGATTTTCTATACTTCTACCTCGAATGCACGTTTAATTCCACTGAAACGAGAGACATTGGTGGAGCTCGTTGTAGTTCAGCACGTAGCCTCGGACTTGTTGATGTAGACTTCGCTGAGAACATTGTAGGATATTGGGAAGGCGATATTAGACTTCAGCATGCTTTCACCGATATCATAAACTCGTGCCCTTACCACCTAGATTGGCATTGCGTTTCTGGACACCGCAGCCTCTGTCCAGTACCAATGACTGAAATAGCTATGCTGTCTCACACGCCGTTAGTCGTGGAACAAGAATATCAAGCAGTGAATTGAATGCCGAGAAATCAATGCTGAAAATAATATCGTACACAGTGGCTTTCAAGACGGGGACACACAATGGCCTGACAATGCTCTGTTTCGGTTTCGATGCAGGACACTGCATTCTACAGATGGAGCACTGCTAGCATTGTGCACGGACAGTCGTATGCATTGACCTAGTCTCATTACACCGTGACGGGTTGCCTAGAAGCAAGGTCCGGGGAAGGATGCTGATTGAAAGGGTTGAAGGCAACTGATGGAGGTGCAGCTAAGCCTTAGAACACAGCAGAGCCGTTAGAAATACTTAGACACTTGTTTCTAGATACGAGGCTAAGTGTGGGACGGAAATTGATCATTGACCATGTACTGCAATCTTCTATTAGAAGCTCTCCACTGGCAGAGTCAGAGACATTGAATCAAGTGGACGCTGTTATGCTCCTTCCCACTGTCTAAGTAACTGAGCGAGCCGGAATAGCAGCTTGTGTATGCTAGTACTGAGCTATGGGATGGCACTTGATAGAGAAGACCAATCAGACTTCGGCTTTGTTGTGGGACATAATGGTGAGAATTACATAACCACTCGTGGCAGCGAGGACTAAGGCTACACCCGCAAGGGCCCAGCTATCGTGGTCAGGCTATATGCCTTAGCAGATGCTTCTTGCGGCGTGGAACAGTCTTCTTGCTTGAACCGGGTGCGAAGGGGCAATGATGTCAAAAAAGCCGTTAATGTGGCCTCGTTGTTAACTGCAATGTGATGCAACCAGACATCACCGGTCCATGCTCCTAGTGACTTGGGTTTCATTGCTGACTGCCCCTGTCCTGCAGCTTGTATTGCGACCTGCTTGCCCATTTGGTCTCGTCTACATACGAAGAGGGTATTCTCTTTGGCATCCGACGAGATAGGCTTTGGTGGACGGTTGAATAGAGATGGGATATAGGTACTTAGTGAGCTGGTGTAAACCCATTCGGGCTGCAGAGAAGACTCAGGTTGCGGAGTAAATGCTATCACAGACTCGATGAACCTTCTAGACCACTGGCATGACAGTTTGACGAAAGTTCAGCTGGCATCGTGCGGGGCTGTCGGCATATACACTCCGATGAGGGTAACTTGTGGTGAACATGTCTCTGACTACACAGCGGTATCAGCTCAAGCCATTAAGCCACCGAAAGCTTAGCATAGTTACTCCCAACCACACCTGGCTCTGCTGTGCTGGCGCACGCAAGGGATACCTCCTCAATACCGCGTGGAAAGAGACGGTTGGTGTGGACTTCATGCTGTAACACCAGCGGATACCTCTATGTTGGGAACATTCTGTGAAACCATCGAAGAGGAAGTACGACGCGTAGGAAATCTGCAAAGCGCGCGTACAGAGTTGTCTGAGAGGCCAGACCTTCGTGTATGCACGAATTTAGGCTGCTCAAGAAGCCGCATCTGTAATGATGCAATTGATTCTTATTGCTTTTTTGAAACCGAGCGCATCACCCAACCAGTTACTCTCCCTAAGGAACGTCCCGTGTTGCAAGTCCGATGGCCTTAATGGGTCGATCAAATCCCGTAAATGAACGTGCATTCCGCGGGCATCGGAGGAATTCAGTGCAACTAGCGTCGAGAAAAATGTCGCAGCCTGGCAAGAAATAATAATACTTCGTGTAGGTAGTACTGACAAACCGAGCTATTTCCACGGTATTGAACCTACCTGTAATTGTGCTGGGTTTCTTCTAGTCCAGTATTGTATAGATGGATAGCGCTGCAGCGTAAGAGTTTTCTGTTCGAAAAGGGACTCGGGGTGATCGATAGCCATAAGAATTATCCATTGCTGTGTATGTAAATGAACAAGGCATTGTGCGTGTCTGTCTTGGTCGAGCTGCAGTCCTAAAGAGTGTTACTCTTTGTGTGTTAGGGTTGTTTGACAAAGTCAAGTCACCGGATCCCCGACGCGTGAAGGCACCTCCTCCCCGATGCCCGTTTGGGCCAACTTCCAACTTCCCCTTGTTTCCCTCTCCTTCCAGTTATCCTACATCCCCTCATTCCCGGCCATGTGTACCTAAATTTTTCCGCAAAATATTACTGATAAAGTGTTCCGTTATTCAACGGGGACACAGAGCTGAGTATCTATTGCCCCGCAGGGCTATGATCGACAGTGGACGATCGGAAGGACAGTACGGAATAGGTGGAAGATGACTGTCAGCTTGGATGGCCAGCTAGGGAGTTGCTCTCTATGTCTCCAGTCTCCCTGCTCCGTGCAGGGATCCTGCGCCAGCCACCGCAGACAAACAGTAGCTAGAATCCTGCGGGGAGACTATGCTTTTATGGGGTTACAAGGCATGACCTTTGTCGGTCAACCATGCGGCAGTACCCAGTCTAATCGCACGGTGAACCAGAGTTTGAACACGGCATCTGTGCATTAGCCAGTCAGTGCAGAACTTGACATTTGACAGCAGGACGGCTCAACTGACGTTGGTTTCATGCAGTGGGACTGGAAATGATTTGGCATACGCCGGGGCTAACACCTCAATAGCACCGGGACTACGAAGCATACTGATTACTGATAGTGGTGTTGGGTGAGGGGAAGATCTGGTCATGCAGATGGCACTAAGATGATCCATGGTTAGCAATTCTTAGGGCGCTCGGCGGATTCCCGGGAGCTCTCTCGGTCTTTTTGTCCACAAGCTGTCCTCCGAATGCGATGGTGCGCCAGGAACAGGATACGTTCGTTCTCTTCCCCAGATGGAAGTGGCTTTTACTGTTTCAATATCTGATATGAAAATCTACTGCATGTCTCAGTGCAACTTCAACGTGGCACTCCGCTGTCCGGCCGAGACCTTTGGCTGAATAGGAAAGGAGCCTAGTCATCCCTTGCGGAGGCTTGAGGGCGAGACGGAGCTGTGATATCGCTGATCGGCGGGACCCATCGTCTATTGGGTAGCCTGCCCTCAAGCCTATGGGCACTAGTGAAGATTAGCGACTGTGGTAGCCTTCCTGCAGCCGATCTCATGCGCGTTCCGCAATAGGGGGTGTTTGCAAACTATCATTGGCCTCGACTTGCACTTTTGGGTTGTCCAGTGTCCATGCCTCCATGGGTCCCGGCCGAGCGCTTGATCTGGTTCGCAAGTGAAATTTCTCGACCCCTGGCTTCCGGTCGACATGCTGTGTGTAACTGCTCCATAACCCAGATTGATTGCGTCCGCGTTCCAGCGCCGTCCACGCACCGTGCCCGACGGCAAGTGGATCAAAATCTACAGTCGGTTAGTCGCTTAATTGTTAAGTGCCCGGAATTGCAATTTAGTACTTCTGTACAGTGGTCCTCGCCGAGGGCAGGGCGCATAAGCGAACCATGATTGGTGATGGCTGATTAAAATCCACGATAAACACTCGCACATTCCAAACATTTGGATTTCTTGGTCGTCCAATGACAGTCCTGTCAGACAGCACTAGTGCATGCTTCAGCTTGTCCGGACCAGTAGTAGTTTTCACTTGACACCTTAGAGTGACAGGTCCGACAGGTTTCTTGCTCGTGATTTACACACCATGGAATCCGCGACTGTGTGGAGGCAGGGGCTTTTTCCCAGACTAAACAGGATCTGTACGGAGTAGGGCTAGCTATATTACTTATCTATGCCGCCGCCCTTAATCGGACGCCCTTGCCTGCTTTTCACTAGGAGTGGCCAGACGAAGGCCGTCTGAGTTTACAGACAACCACCATGGCCTACCCAGCAGCTCTCAAGGTCCTGTTTACACGGGATCTCCTCGTATGTAGCAGACTCGATACCTCATCTCGTGCAAGTTGTTAACCCTAGGTCGGTCCAGAATCCCGATGACCCTAATGTCGGTTCATCACGAGGAAATGCGTCCTCGACGACGTCCGATGCCATGTCCGATCTTGGCCTTGGAGGGGACTCGACTTCCCTTTCTGCGTTTCTGACCACACTGATCCCAGCGTTGGTGATCGCTGCGTTCTGGTTCGGCCTCTTCTTGATCTGCCGGCGAACCCAGCTGCGATGGTACGCACCGAGAACTCACCTGCCATGTTGGCACCAGCAGTATGTTTATCATTATCCTATCTACTCCACCAGGAATGTTGCTAAGATGCGCATAGTGAGCGAGCCCCACGACTACCTTCGGGGTTTATCAATTGGTTCGGCCAATTCTTGAAGATCTCCGATGCCCAGGTCCTCCGGCATTCCTCCATGGACGGGTATCTTTTTCTCCGATTTCTACGCGTGCTTTCTGCCACATGCTTCACGGGTTGCGTTATAACCTGGCCAATTTTGCTTCCCATTAATGCCACTGGTGGCGCAGGGAACACCCAACTGGACGCTCTAAGTTTCAGCAATGTGACAAACTCGCAGCGTTACTATGCACACACAATTATAGCAATTGTCTATTTCAGTGAGAGAACCCTCCACTACATCGGTTGGGCACTACTAACTAATGTTTTGTGTTGAAGCCTTCGTGTTCTTCGTGGTAACTCGCGAGAGCATCTTCTATGCGAACCTACGCCAAGCATACTTTAACTCCCCGGCTTATGCGGAGCGTATCTCTTCAAGAACGGTCCTATTCATGTCAGTACCGGACGAGTATAAAAATGAAAAGACGCTGCGTCAAGTCTTTGGAGACAATATCAACCGGATTTGGATCACTTCCGAGTGCAAGGACCTGGACAAGAAGGTCATGGAGAGGGCAAAGCTAGCCTATAAACTAGAGCATGCTGAGACGAAATTGATTCGAGCAGCAAATTCGGCTCGGCTGAAAGCCATCAAAAAGGGGATCGCCCTATCTAAGCCATGCCTGGATTCAGATAGCTGCGAAGAGTGTCAATCAAACACTTCCACAACATATCATGGTATTAAGAGACCAACTCATCGTGTTAAACTGCTCGGCAAAAAGGTCGATACAATTCGTTGGTTACGCGCTGAGCTGGCAAAGGTCATCGAGGAGATCTCTATTCTTCAGAAAAAGCACCGAAATGGCGAAATGAAGAATCTTTCTGCCGTCTTCATCGAATTTGCCACACAAAAGGACGCGCAAGTTGCTCTACAGACCGTATCCCATCACCAGCCACTTCACATGACGCCTCGTTTCATTGGTATCTCGCCCAACGAGGTTGTCTGGTCAGCTTTGAACCTGAGCTGGTGGCAACGGATCGCACGCCGTTTCTTGGTACAGGGTGGCCTTGCTGCCCTCGTTATTTTCTGGTCTATCCCATCCGCCATGGTGGGAACGATCTCGAACATCACTTATCTCACTAGCATGATTCCGTTCCTAGGTTTCATCAACAAGCTCCCATCGGTCATCCTAGGTCTCATCTCTGGTCTACTTCCTTCCGCTGCGCTCGCTATGTTGATGTCTCTGGTTCCGATCATTTGTAGAGGTATGATTTCCCCCTTTAGTTCATGACCCGCAGCTTCTAATCGCTACACAGCCTGCGCCAGAGTTTCCGGTGTACCTTCGACGTCGCGTGTGGAACTCTTTACTCAGAGTGCACACTTCTGTTTCCAAGTTGTGCAAGTCTTCCTTGTCACTACATTGACTTCGGCGGCATCTGCTGCGACTGCTCAGATCATCAAAGACCCTTTATCGGCCAAGGATCTTCTGGCCGAGAACCTACCAAAAGCGACCAATTTCTATATTTCCTACTTTCTTCTTCAGGGCCTGACCATGAGCTCCATGGCGGTCGTACAAGTTGCAGGGGCTGTCGTCTTCAAATTCATTACGACGTTCTTCGACCGCACCCCTCGACGACTATACCAGCGATGGGCGGCCCTGAGTGGTGTAGGATGGGGCAATGTGTTTCCTGTTTTCACAAACATGGGTGTGATTGGTACGTTCAATTTGCCTTCATGTTTTTTCTTGATTCTAACTTGTTCTTCATAGCAATCACCTACTCGTGTATCGCTCCGTTAATTCTGGGATTCGCCTTCGTCGGACTCTACCTCGTATATCAAGCATATCGGTACAACTTCTTGTTCGTCTACGATCTCCGCATCGATACCAGAGGCCTCGTTTACCCGCGCGCACTACAACACCTCTTGACTGGCATCTACCTTGCAGACATCTGCCTGATCGGACTCTTTGCCATCAAAGGAGCCGTCGGACCACTCGTGATCATGGCCCTGTTTCTCATCCTCACCATCCTGGCTCATATATCGCTCAACGATGCGTTGGAACCGTTATACTCTTTCCTCCCAGCAAACCTCGACGTCGAAGAAGAATCGCAACTATCCAAAGCGGAAGCAGATGCCTTGAATCCCCGCAAAGTAGGAAAATGGGAAGCGGCCTGGAAATGGTTCCACCCAAATCTCTATCGCGACTACGCTGCACTGCGTGGAAAGGTTCCCCGTGACCACGTGGAAATCCGATACACAGAGGAAGAAAGAAACAAGGCCTACTACGAGCCGTGCATTACCGCACGCACTCCGACTCTCTGGATCCCGCGGGATAAATGGGGATTCAGCCAACAGGAAGTGCTGGATACGGATCCGTGCATCCCTATCACAGACGAGGGAGCTCATCTGAACGAGAAAAACAGAATTGTCTGGGATAAATATGACCCCAAACTGCCGCTGTGGGAACTGAAGATTCTTTATTAGCCTACTCTCCTCTATGACTAACGATTTAATGCTGAATTGACTTAGCCACAAGATTGTGACATGTATCTAACCTACTATCTATCTATCTATCTATAAAACCGAATAATTTTAATGAATAAACAACACCCCTAAACTATTCATTGTGTATTTTACTTGTATAATCTAGGATGAGCCAAATCTCAAGCTGCCCGCTATTACTTATATACTTTCGGGTATCGCGCACTGACAACTCACCCATCTTACCCATCACCCCATATCCCAGCCCCCAAACTTAAACCATGCTCCACCCTCCCCCAAAGCTTATAATATGGCCCCCATCCCTTGCAGGAGCTTCGATTCTTCGATCCTCCGCTGAGACATGACCGATTGCCTTCATATTTACGGAGTAGAATAGACCGAAAAAAGAAGTATGAACAACTGTGTTGGTTCCACTGCCGTTGCTAAGCGGAGATTCCGTTATTATTCTATATTTAGTTGATTTGCATGAGTACAATACTACATGCTAAGTACTGTGTTTCAATTTTTGTGTTTACTCAATCTGTGATGCAGGAATTGGGATTCATTCGAATGGAAAAAAATAGTAATACTCATCGCTCGTTGGGGTTAGTGGAGAGGTGTTGTTGAAACGTTGATTTAAATATACTATAAATATATACTACTAGCAAATTTTAGTATATCGACGCGATTTTCTTCGAGGTGATGATGTCTGGATGTCTACTACTTAGCTGTTGAGTTAGACGCCAAGGGCGAGGTGGGATTGTCGGTTGTAGTGTGTTCAAGTGATGTACTTGTTGAGTCAAACTGGGAATAACATGATTGGGTGTTGGTGATCATGTCGGTTGTTGCATGGTAGTATGTAGATACTGCTAGTATGCAATGACTTGAAAATATTAATGGTTTTATCCGGGCTTTGACCTGAAAGCTACTACTGGTTGTTTTTACTGAATATACATATTATCTGAAATATAGGAAGATGTCATGTATCGAACAAATGTATTATTCATAATAATAAGTACCATTTGCTCAGATATATATCTACCGGAATAGAAAGACAACCAATACCAGATAAATCCCGCTGGCCGTAGTGGCCTCATGTCGCGCTCGTTAATGATCGTCGTCGTAGTAGGGCATGATAAGACATTAAACCTCGCCTGGCTGCTAGGCGGTTACATAAAATACATAAAGTCATGTACATCATTTGAGACCCGAAAGTACGGGCAGACTGTTTAACCTCGCAATGCAAGCTCACATCACGATGCAGTCTTTGGGTCGGTCCCTCATGCGGTCCGAGGGTCCGGTGGTGAGAGGCACACCTGGAGGGCGTCTCCCCTGTTGGTTTCTTTGGTACTGAGACGCATTAGGAGAGTCCGTGAAGTTGGGGCTTCGCTGGGGTGACGGGTATACTGGGCTCCTCGCGGCCTGCTCATATGAGGGCGGAGGCACATCGTCGTCATCCGTCGGTCGGACGGTTGGTATATTGGACTGGGAGTACCGGGCAGGACGTTGACTCTGCCTCGACGAGCGGTTTCCAGATGCAACTGTGGCGTAAGAAGCACTGCTGGGGTTTACAGCGCTTGATGAACGGTTGCGAGTGTATGCTGCCCCGGGTGCTAGTCCGGCTGATGGCGGGTGAGAGACCGACGCTCGCTGGGAAGGGTTTCTGTTGGTTGAATCCCTATTGGGAGTGGCATTGGCTCGCTGCTCCTCCTGGTACTGCAGCGCGAGCGCGTAAGCGTAGTCTGCATCAGCCTGTTCCTGGGGAGTCATGGCGCTGTTACGCTGTTCCTGTGGCGCCGGAGCCAGGCCAGTATTGCTCGATGTTCTTGGGCCCGATGGGTCGGAAGGCGGAGGTGCGTCATGGCTAACAGGGCGAAAGTCCCCGGAAAAGAAACCAGCTTGTGAACCATTGACATCGACCAGACTCTCCCATACGACCTCAGCGTGACTGGAATAACCAGCATCGGTGACCAAGGTAAAGAGCTGATCGAGTTGAGGATGTTTGTACAGCGTTGAGAAATGATCGTTGCGGAATAGAATCGAGAATGACCCAGGCTGCAAGGTCGTCGCTAGATGCTTCAAGCCGAAAGTGCTCAATTGAGTCGCGTTTTCGAACTCTGTGAACTTTTGGATGGTCTGAATATCACTCATGACGAGTTCTTCCTCCGGCGTCAATGCGTTGCCTCGCATAACGCGGTCTTCCAAATCTTGCTTTCGAAAAGGGAGCAACTGAATATCTTCGTGATACTGACCCACGCGGGCCAATGCGGCATCTGCTTCCGTAGACGGAGCTGCAACCCAACCGTGAACCAAAGGGACTCCAAATGTTCCATAGAGACGGATATCTTCGGTCTCAAGGAAAGTACCCAGCGCATCATTAGATTCCTGCAATCATTAGATGCTGCATCAATTTCCACGTGTACGAACTACTTACCAAGGTGAGCCGGGGATTGACGTTCATGCCGGTATGCAGCATAGTCAAAAACCGACTAAGAGCTTCAATGTCCGGAAACTCGTCATCGGGTCCCAGCCGTGTCGTTAATTCATCAAAGAGTGCCTCGATCAACAGCCCTAATGAGATTTGTTCCCGAGTTTGCAAAGCTCTCACAATCGGCGGTTGCGAGTCGTGAATTGTGGAACGTAGTACAAGAGCATTTACCAGTGCCAGAAGAGGACACGGTCCATTCTTATTCTGTACAAGAATAGGCGATTCGCGTAACTTGCCGGTGCTATCAGCCCAATTCACGTGTCTGATCGAATAGGTCTCTGACCGCTGTTCTTGCTGTCGCTTGGCTTCGGCTTCCGATATTGGTCCACTGAATGCTGAATGAGTATAGACTGCACCGGGGCCTTTCGAGCGATCGGGCAATGGTGGAGCGTCACTAGGGTTGTGTCGCAAGGTCTCTTCCCGTGGGCCGTCTGGCGAACTGAGGTTGTAGCTTTGGGGCGCTTCAGTTGGAGTATCTGTTTTGGGTGGTGGAATAGGGGCTTCATCCAGTTCAATCAAGACGTGAGACGACCCGGTGGTATTGCTGGATATAGTCGCCGGAGTACTCATACTCCTCGCCGGGGATTCCCTGCCCTCGTCATGTAGCTGTGAGGTCGGCTGAAGATACGTTTGTTGACTTGCATAAGGCGCAGCCGGCACATTCGATGTTCCATATATTATGCCAGTTTCTTGGCCAGTATATAATTGACCCTGGTCGTGGTATTCGTACGGTTGCGAAGATGCGGGGGGTTGCATCGCAGTGGAGTGTTCGCCAACCCAGGGAGTCTCGTCCTCCGGCTGATCAAAGAGCGATAAGCGCGCTGTCATCGGGATGTATCCTTCATCTAAGTGGGTCAGTCTAGGCTGCTAGATTGACAATAGGTGGACAGTGCATACCTTGTCCGAGATGTCCACTGGCCCCGTCCTGAGACAGAGACGATTCTCCAAATGAGGTGTGAGAATTGCGGTCTTGCCATGGATTTGGTTCAGGCGACTTCGGTTTCAGGAAAGGGTTGTTCGACTGCAGCTGCACCGGTGTTTGTCCCGTGTACTCTCTGTCAGATCGCCATTCCGCAGCACCTCTCTCTTGAGCACCAGGAAAAGAGGTAGACGGAACTTGGTCTGATGGGTTTCCGTTCACCATCCCCATACCTTGCGAAGGACTACTAGCTATCTGTTGGGGAGATCCAACCGAACCCTGGTGATCTAAACCGAACCGCGCAGTGAGCTCGTCCGCCCACGGATTCGACCCGTCCCCGGCCGAATTCCGGATTGGCGACCTCTGCGCCTGTTCCAACGGCATGAGGTCAAAAGCTGGTGAGGTATTGAGGTCAGGAGAAAAAACCGATTCCTGAGAAACAACCCGATGAGGTTGGGGAGAGCTTTGGGCCCGTCGCGGGCGTGTCAGGCGTTTTGGCGACGAGGATGAGAGAGACTTGGAAGTCGGAGAGAGTTTGGAGTTGGTGAAACGGGACCCTGTACGGTCATTCCCTTGAGGAAGGCTGTTGAGGCGTGGCGGAGCTCGTTTTCGCAAGACCATGAGGCGGACTCTTAGTGTACGAGGCCCGGGGTTACCGAGCTCACGGGGGAATCACAAGAGGGTTGGACAAGCTTGGGGCCAATAAAGTGCGGTCAAGGAGCCAGTCAGAAGAGTTAGATCGACAGGCTTCCTCTGATGACAGGTGAGATTGCCTAGTTTGACAGTCTGACGCACGAATGGGCGCCAGAGTGCCGCAGACGTGGTTGGGAGCTCTCGGGGATGTATACGTAACCAGGCAGTGGCTCCGGCAAAGACGAGGAGATCAAGATTAGCCAGTATACGCGAGAAGGAAAGCAGCAGCCACAGCCATGCCTTTTGCAGGGGATAAACGGTCGACCCTAGGCAACAAAAAGAAGATGAAAAGTGAAAATTGAGGGAGGAAAGGCACGCGAAGTCAACAACAATGGCGGGAATGACCGTCGAGGGTCACAGGCACCCGGATTCCCTGACGGAATGAATGGATGGATTGCGATCGATGCTCGGGATTGGCGGTGGACCCCTGCCTGTTCTCCCGTTACCGCTGTTACCGCTATTTGGTGCGGGGATTCGCAATGTGGCTGCCTGCGATTACTGTATCGTATGGTTACGCCCCGCTGGCACCGCCACACTCTCCGCGTATTGTGCACCGCCACTTATAAATGACGTATAGTCACGGAACTGGGGAGGAACGATGATCCGCTGCTATACTCATTACATAAGCCGTGCATTATCGCAGTGGTGGAGGGTCCGTGCGCTATCGCAGAAAAAAGTAACGGAATTCAATTGCAATTAGAAGCTGCGACTTTGGTGGGGTTATTGGCTCAGGTCGCTTGAATTGACCTCTTCTTCTTTGCATAGAATGCGCTGATCCTTATTCTATTACATATCACTTGAAGCATCCCCGGCATCATGCATTCCTACGTGCGACCAAATCAATTCATCGCCTTCAAGCTCCCCTCCGAGGCGACGAGGATCCAGAAGGTCGTTCCCAATACGTATGCGCGCGACTTGCCAGCCCCTAAATAATTGCACAGTGCTAAGTACGTTGGATAGGCAAATCTCTCTAGGAAAATACGGTGCTTTCCCCGCCAACCAAATCATTGGCCGTCCCTTCTACCTGACGTTCGAGATCCACGAGACCCCCGGACAAGCTGATAGCACCTACCTTCGCATCGTATCGGCGGCAGAGCTTCACGCGGAATCCCTCATTACCGAGGGCGAAGGCGACGGCGATGATGTAGAGGTCAATGAAGATGGCACGCCGGTGCGGTCGAACCGCGAAACCATCGACGACCGGTCAACGCAAAAACTAACACTAGAGGAGATTCTGGCGCTGAAGAAGGAAAGTACCGGAGCGGGCAGGGAAATCATCGCGAAGCTGCTCGAGTCGCATCAGGCCTTGGATCAAAAGACAGCATTCTCACTGGCCAAGTATAAGCTACGGAAGGAGAAGAAGTACATGAAGCGGTTCACAGTGATTCCTCTGGATGTCAGTCTCCTGACGAACTACATGCTTGAGGACAAGGATGCAGCGCGGACTATGGAACTGCGCGACGAACTGATCGGCCTCATTGGGTGTTGGGGAAATGTGCATCACGGTGGTAGCACCTCTTTTGACGAGACTGTCACCTCGAAACCGAATGGTCGCTATCTGGTTGTCGATGATACGGGTGGTTTAGTCGTCGCAGCTTTGGCTGAAAGAATGGGAATCTTGTACCCTCACGATGGCGAGAACGACCAAGAACAACAGGATGCTATTGAGCGGCCTGCCGCAGTAGAAGCTGAAGAGGCAGAGAACGCCCAAGAGGGAGAGGAGCAAACCACGACGACCACCACACATCGCCCACCCCGTCGACCACAGATGTCCGCTTCAGGAAATACCATCACCCTTCTCCACGCCAACAAACAGCCCAACCTAAGTCTTCTGAAATACTTCGGCTACGAACAAGATAGTCCGAGCGACACACATCCCCTCTACACAAACCTCAAGACCGTCTCCTTCATGCAGCTGCTCGACCCTAACGCGGACAACATCTACTCCGAGGAACCGTCGGTAGTACCCGAAGAGGAGCTTGCCACGTACAAGGCCAGCAAGCGTAGCGCCTACCACCGCAAGCGCGGGCGGTGGATGCGCGTTCGCAGGGTAGTCGACGAAGCCCGGGCCGGCGGTTTTGACGGCCTCATTATCGCTTCCCTCATGAGCCCGACGAGTATCCTGAAGCACACTGTCCCATTGGTGGGAGGCTCAGCACCGATCACTATCTACTCGCCTACCATTGAACCCTTGACAGAGGTAATGGACTTGTACTCGACAGCGCGCAAGAACGCCTACATCGCCCGGAAGCGTGAGCTACAAGAACAGCAACAGGCCGACGGCCAGGATGAGTCTGGCAAGATGCACCCCGCACTGGAGGAGGAATACACAGTCGACCCTACCATGCTGCTTGCACCGACGCTGCAAACCTCCCGAGTACGCGTCTGGCAGGTCCTGCCTGGACGGACACATCCGTTGATGTCGGGACGTGGTGGTGCAGAAGGGTACATCTTCCACGGCATCCGGGTCATCCCGACGCAGCAGATCATTGAGGCGGCCGGAAATTCAGGCCGGAAGAGAAGAAAGGTGACCAAGGAGACGGAGACACCGACTGAGACGCAGACGGGCAGCGGGGATGTGGAGATGACGTCGTGACCTATCCTAGATTCAATTACCCTAACTGTAACATAGCCGACAATTGGCTTCAAAAGTATACCATGTGCACAACTACAACATGAGATAATGAATCCAGAAACGATGAGGAAGACATCCATCCGACAGCTCAACCGACTGTCTGGTATAGTAAATATCCGATATCATGACATTATAATCTTCTTTCGTAGAAATCTATTTCCCCATCAACTCACACCCATTCCTCACCACACCCACCAACCCACCAGTCTGCATCGTCTCCGACCCACCCCCAGCCAACCTCCACTCAATCTCCGCCAACCCTTCCAACCACGTAACTCTCGTCTGCGCGGGCACTTCCAACCTCTGCAACTGATCGCCCAACGCCGCGAGAATATCCGCCAACGCCAAGCCCTTATTCGCCTTGAGGGTATTAATGGTACTCAAACAGGACGTAACATCACTCGTAGCCAACAACGTCGTCATAATCTCCTCAATATCAGACGGATGAGGCGCCGCAATACAATCATAAATCGTCTCATTCGTAATGACCTCAGCCTCGGGCCTCCCCTTCGCATCCTGATCCTGATCCTGATCCTTGGGCGCATTCTTCATCGGCAACGGTATACTACTGGCAAAACAAGCCTGCAGGACATTCAACGCCCGTCGCATATCACCCTTACTCAGACGAACCAGACTATCCACCGCCTCCGGCTGAATATTCACCTCTTCCTTCTCAATCACAAGGTCCACTAATACACGGATATCCGCCTCTTTCAACGGACTGAAGCGGAACCGCGTACATCGGGACAAGAGCGCCGGGGAGAGCTTGTGTGTGTAATTGGCGATGATGCAGAAGCGCGTGTTGGCGGTGTATTTTTCCATGATGCGACGGAGGGCCATTTGTGCGGTGGCCGTCATGGCGTCGGCTTCGTCGAGGATGATGAGTTTGTAGGAGGCGAGGTTGGAGGAGGTGGAGGCGGATGTGGAGGATGAAGGTGCCATGGAGAAGATTTGTTTTGTGCTGGCAAAGGTCTTGATTTGTTCGCGGACGACATCGATACCGCGGTCGTCACTGGCGTTGAGTTCCAGGACCATTTGGCGCATGTTCTTTGCGCCGTAGATTCGGCGCGCGAGGGCTAAAATGGTGGATGTTTTGCCGGTTCCGGGGGGACCGTAGAGGAGGAGATGGGGGAGGCGCTGTTAAGGTGTTAGACTTGTGAGATTAGGGATATCATTGAGGGAATGAATTGGGGATTAGGGGGGTGTACGTTTGCTTCGACGAATTTGTTGATTGTTGCGAGAATGTCTTGGTGGCCGGACACATCTTCTAGGGTGTTGGGACGGTATTTCTCTACCCTATAGTCTTCCGTTAGAGATTATCATACTGCCTATACAAAGAGAGGGAATATACCAGGGGAGGTTATCTTGAGCTTCAACAGGCAGATCAGCTGCTACTCGCTTTGCCTTGCCATTTGTGTTGTCGGAGCTGAATTGGATAGCATTCTTGGATGGGACGTCCACGTCCATTGAATCTTTGTAGTCGGACATGATGTGTGTTTCAGAGGAGCGATGCACTCGATCTCTAAATAATAATGCAGAGCTCCAATCATATAAAAAGAGAGGGGAATCTGGTGAAATTGTAACTATTCGGAAATCACGAGAGACGCGTAGCGCGTAAAGAGGCTCGGGCCGGAAAATCTCCCCGCCCAGGAGCAGGACAGCGGCAGCTCCTGGACTGGCACGGGTGATGACATGCACCTCCGTCCCTCTCCCTATTGTATCTACCTATTTCCCTTCCTTAGACCGGCTCTAAGGACCACCACCACCCATTATATTTCCCTGCACCTCACAATGCCGGTACTATTCCTTTTCCTCTACCCATTCCGAGATATAACCCCCCGATAAATTGACTAATCCAATATCAGGCATACCACTCCATCTTCCTCGAGGATCGGGATGTCCCCGTAATAGGTACGGCCGCACTCCCCTCCCCGCCATACACCCACCTAGCTACCCCCCCATACAGCGAGAGCTACCTACACCATCCACTACAATCCACCACTCTCTCATCAACCCAACTAATCACCCATTGATAGGAAATTTCCCCATCCTCCCCCTCCGCACTCGCACCCGCGGCCCCGCATACACCCTCCCCCCGCTCCCGCCCACCGCCGACACCACCGATGTGCCCGCCGACAGCGAATCCTACGACTGCGTCGACGAGATCCTCTCCCTGTTCCGCGCAAATGTCCTGTTCCGTAACTTCGAGATCAATGGGCCCGCCGATCGCATGCTCATCTACGGCACCCTGTTCATCAGTGAATGCTTGGGGAAGGTGAAGCCCGGTATGGTGATGCGCGAGGCTGAGAAGGTATGCTTTGCTTGCCCTGGTTGTGCGGGGTTGTGGGGGATTGATGGTGGTGATAAATGATGTGACTGTGAAGTGCTAATGGGTATCATTTGCAGGCGTTGATCAACGCTGCGCTCGACCACTTTGCTATTCCCGGTGACGTGTCCTTCCCTCTGAACCAGGCGTTTGAGGCGCCCCGCGATCGCCAGGATGCGGAGACATTGAGACAGTATGTTAAATATCAAGCAGCCCATTTCGACCGGAGCCGATGTGTTAGACAGTGCTGATTGGTTTGCAATAGGTACCTCTCGCAAGTCAGGCAGGAAATTGCGATGCGGCTGCATGCGCGGTTATACCCCGGTGGTGTTGGGCCTTCCAAGGTATGTATCCATACCCTGCAATCATGGAGGGATCTAGGCTGACAAAAGTATAGTGGTGGCTGAGCTTCGCCAAGAGAAAGTTCATGGGAAAGAGCTTCTAAGGCGAATGACTGATAGATAGATGGATGTGCTTTTGTTTTTGCTGCCAAACTCAGCGTATGAACAAACTCTAAACTGGACTGTTAGCTGTTGTCCATGTCTAGTCATTTTTACTCTGTGTATATTTGAATCTGAAGCGTTTTGATCCGACTCTCGCTGCTTAGTTGGTGTCGTTCCTGATGTCGTTGGTGACGGGAGAAGCAGATGTAGAGTCCCACTGCGGGCAAGGGAGCCACAAGACCCCTGTTCAACCAGAGCCAGTTGATCCATGATAATGATATCAGAAGCCCTGTTCGACCGGAGCCAAATGTCCTAAAAGTGGCTTCCGTATTCCGGCTCCAGTCGAACAATATCCCTCCCGTTCTCTTACAAACGATCCTCCCAAGCCCCCAGCGCTATACAACCACACACCAGTTGCCCCCCAAAAACACCAGCACCAGCAACCAACAACACCCCTATTCAACCCCCTCTAAACCCCATACAACAAGTCCTTACATAACAACTACCACACCCCAAACCCAAATCTGTTCCTCAACTTTTACTACACCCCTCCCGCACCGCTCTGCTTTCCAGTCCGCATGGACATACTATAACTCCTTCTGACAAGGGTTTCGGCAACGAGGTGCTCAGATCCTTCGGATTCTTCGATGTCAACCTCACCAAGCATTTCAGCCGCTATTCAAGCCTTTACAAGACGCATGAATAAGAGGCAAAAGCGACAAGATGAGTCGGGGTAGAAGGGGGCAAGAGGGTCCTTTAGATGTTAGACACTACTATACTAGCCGAGATTAGTCCAAATCATATTTTTTTCTCATGCATATTTGCTTACCATAGGATTGTGCTGTCCTGCTGGGGACGACTGTCCAGATGATGATACGGGTGGATACATGTGTTAATGATGTGCTATTTGCGATGATAGGACATGATGTAGATAATTAGAGGAGGTCAGCTAGTCATGAGGCTCTGAGTCTGGGTAGTAGTATATGGTATTGATAGCCCTAGAACGGGGCAGACACCACCCCGGGCTGACAAGTGGTCATGTATCTATCTATCATTAAGTGTAAGATGTAGCTTATTTCAAGATTCACCCACTGTAAGCCCCAATTAGCGATGTGAATATAACATATCAATATTTTTGGCAGAATATAAACCACCAGTAAGGTCGCAGCGCTATTAATTATGCTTTTCTAATCGGCAGCTTCATTAAGACATGCATCCATCACGGCACGACCGGCAACCTTGGATATCACGGGCTATGCTGCTTCGTTATCCTCCCCCTTCTCAAACAACTCCTCAATACTCTCCAAACTCTTCCCCTTCGTCTCCGGCATCAGCACACATACCGCCACCGCCACAAGCGTCGAGAACCCATACAGGAAATACGGGCCTGACGGAGAGCGATGCAGGAACAACGGAGCAGTAAGAGTAACGATAAAGTTAACAATCCAATTAGCAAGCAGCTCTACCGCACATACCTTTGCCCGAAGTCGAGTGGGAATGATCTCTGAGGCGTAGATCTTGCCGACCTAAAGAGAACCACATCAATAAATCAATTTGTGCAACTCGAAGAACAGTACTCACCACAGCCCACGACCAGGAAAAGTTTGCCACAAAGATGAATATTAGCACCACCACGGCCCATTGAGCAGAGTGAGATTCGAGGGTGACAGCATCGTGGGTTGTGTGACCGTAACGGGCGTACAGTGCTCCAATAATGATGAAACAGATGGACATTGCTGATCCCCCGGTGATCAAGGGCTTGCGGCGCCCCCATCGGTCTACCCAGATCTGGGCGGGGATGGTGAAGACCAACATCACAATACCGATGATGCCAGATGACAGGAAGGAGGCCTTGGTGGACGTAAAACCCGCTTGTTGAAAGAGGATAGGTGCATAGTATAGGACAACGTCGATCTGCAGTGAGTTAGTCCAGTGTCCAGGAGGCCCGGTCGAGAACCATGAGGGCATTGGGAGCGAAGCGGGACGAAGCTGAAATTACCCCTGTCAATTGCTGAAAAGTCATAAGAAACACTCCAAGGGATGTACGACCAATGTACTTCCGACCAAAGATCTCCGCCATACTAGCGGTCGGTCGCCGCTGGTCAGACTGCAGACTGTCCTGAATCTCCCGTAGCTCGTCGTCCACCGTAGATTCAGGGCGCAGTTCACGCAAAACTTGACGTGCATCTTCGTTGCGGCCGACCTGCACCAGCCACCGAGGCGAGAATGGAAGCAGAAGCATCACAACCGACAGCACCGCAGCCATGATGGCCTGGATAATAAACGGCACCCTCCATGACATG